CAGCAAGTTGGCAGCGGACGCTTGCCGCCTGAGCTACATGATCGGCTGCTCACTTTGACGCAAGTTATCTCATTTCCGGTAAAAGATATCCAAACGTTGTGAACTGATAAAATGTTTATCAGATTATCACTAAAACGACAAAAACAAGCATTTTTTCAGGGTTCCTACATTGAAGTGTCGTACGTCGTCGAACAAGTGGAGGAGATTCGGAGAATGTGTCCATACAAGTACCTGACACCTCGAAATTCTCCGGATTACGCGTATCAAGACTACGGTGGAAGCGAATACTTCGATACGACCAACTACTTCAAAGCTCTCGATTACTACGGTCTGACACCATTCGAAGACATGCCGGAAGGCGGTGGTCGTCCGACGTGTATGCTGATTGGAATGCAGAGATTTTTGATGCAAATCCATTGGATCAAAAGTTTCTTCACCGAGAAATCGGATCGAGAGCTCCGCGAGCTCGTTGGACAATCCGCACTTCATTTGTTAAACGAGGACATTCAGAAGGATGCATTGAAGTACCTGGTAGGGGTTTTTTGAGCTTAAAAAATTGGTTAAAAGCTAGAAACGTTGCTGAAACGTTAAACTTTCTGAACTTTTGAACCCTTACAAAAGTAGTTCAACCTCAGCCAAATTTTTTGGAAATTTCAGCATATACAAAGCAAAACTAGAGGTTTATTTTTGTAGTTGACAACTATTTGATAACTTTTTTGGATTTTGAGATATGCGCCTTTAAAAATGCCAGATGCCGGCGGAGGTAGCGGAGGGTTGGGGCGCCAGGAAGCAGGTCAACTTTAAAAGCGTATAATTCAAAAACTACGGTAGCTAGACAAACGTTGTTCATGGCAAAAAGCTGTAAATTTTATTTTTCCACAATTTTGTACTTGACCAGTTTCTGATAGCTACTGTAGTTTTTGAGATATGCTTTTTTAAAGCTATCCGACCCAAAACCGCGGCAACAGCGGAGAGGGGAGGGTTGAAGCGGCAGGAAGCAGGTCAACTTTAAAGGCGCATATCTTTAAAACTACGGTTGCTAGATATAAGTAGTAAGTTATAAAAATGTGTAAAATTCAATTTTACACATTTTTGTAAATTACAAAACTTTGCTAGGTACTGTAGTTTTCGAGATATGCGCCTTTAAAGATATCCCTTCCCCTCCTCGGAGGCTAATCCCCACTGTGTAAGGGGAGAGGGCGCGTTATCTTTAAAGGCGCATATCTTCCAAACTCTTTCTAGATACTGTAATTTTGGAGATATGTGCCTTTGAAGACGCGTCCCCTGCCCGTAGGTGTCTCACTTTGAGAGACTCACAGCTCTAAAACTACGGTAGCTAGACAAATGTTGAAAACAAACAATTTCAGAACGGCTGCACAACATACACAAAATCCAAAATCGATGATCTCATGAATCTCCGCCCACCAGCAACAATTCCGGGAAGCTCCGCCCCTATGGTCCCGCCTGGATTATCGAAAGAAGCAAAATCAGATGAAGAGATAAAAGAGGAAGAAGAGGAAAATGAAAAAATTAAGGATGAGCAATCGGCAAAAAAGCCTACAAAAATGGGAAATTTGAATAATTGCAAATCGTGTGCAGGTTATAGAGAACGAGCGGCATTATTGAGAGCTAGTGCGAAGGAAATGAAGAATAAGGCTGAGGAAACGGCCAAAGAATGGGAACATTATACGGAATACAAGAAGGAGTACGATCGAAAACAGGACATTATTCGGGATCTTGAAGAGTTAGTTTTGCTGAAAATTTAGCTGAAAATTTCCACAAATTCGAAAATTCAGGAATTCAGTTTTTTGAATTTTCAGAATTTCAGATTTTTGGATTTTCGTTTTGAAATCCCCAGTTTTCATTAAAAGCCCAATTTTTTTCAGTTTCATATTTCATTATTATTTTTGGAATTTTGAATCCTGTGAGAGTCTGAATTTATAATTTTTCTGAAAAAAATGAATAAAACTGTCTGAAAATTAGCGCAAAAATTCAGAGAAAAATTTGCCTGTAATTTGGCTGCAATTTTTCAGAAATTCAGAAATTCAGTAATTCAGAAATTCAGTAATTCAGAAATTCAGAAATTCAGAAATTCAGAAATTCAAAAATTCAGAAATTCAGAAATTCAGAAATTCAGTAATTCAGTAATTCAGTAATTCAGAAATTCAGAAATTCAGAAATTCAGTAATTCAGAAATTCAGAAATTCAGAAATTCAGAAATTCAGTAATTCAGAAATTCAGAAATTCAGAAATTCAGAAATTCAAAAATTCAGAAATTCAGAAATTCAGAAATTCAGAAATTCAGAAATTCAGAAATTCAGAAATTCAGAAATTCAGTAATTCAGAAATTCAGAAATTCAGAAATTCAGTAATTCAGAAATTCAGAAATTCAGAAATTCAGAAATTCAGAAATTCAGAAATTCAGAAATTCAGAAATTCAGTAATTCAGAAATTCAGAAATTCAGAAATTCAAAAATTCAGAAATTCAGAAATTCAGAAATTCAGTAATTCAGTAATTCAGTAATTCAGTAATTCAGAAATTCAGAAATTCAGTTATTCAGAAATTCAGAAATTCTGAGATTCAGTAATTCAGTAATTCAGTAATTCAGTAATTCAGAAATTCAGTAATTCAGTAATTCAGACATTCAGAAATTCAGTAATTCAGAAATTCAGTAATTCAGAAATTCAGAAATTCAGAAATTCAGAAATTCAGAAATTCAGAAATTCAGAAATTCAGAAATTCAGAAATTCAGGAATTCAGAAATTCAGAAATTCAGAAATTCAGAAATTCAGTAATTCAGTAATTCAGAAATTCAGAAATTCAGTAATTCAGAAATTCAGAAATTCAGTAATTCAGTAATTCAGTAATTCAGAAATTCAGAAATTCAGAAATTCAGTAATTCAGAAATTCAGAAATTCAGAAATTCAGTAATTCAGTAATTCAGTAATTCAGTAATTCAGAAATTCAGTAATTCAGTAATTCAGAAATTCAGAAATTCAGTAATTCAGAAATTCAGTAATTCAGAAATTCAGAAATTCAGAAATTCAGTAATTCAGAAATTCAGTAATTCAGAAATTCAGAAATTCAGGAATTCAGAAATTCAGGAATTCAGAAATTCAGAAATTCAGAAATTCAGAAATTCAGAAATTCAGAAATTCAGAAATTCAGAA